TCACGGTCTAAATGGACCACAAACCGTGAACATCGAGCAGTCCAGCGAGTTTTCAGAGGTTACTGACGCCAAGGGAGTTCACAGTCTCTACCGTGAACTGGGGCCATTGACCGTGAACCCAGGATAGTGAAGCGGTGCGTTTTGGACGACACTGAATTCATGGACTCATTTAGATGTTCACTACCGTGAACTGGTCACTTTCGGGAAAATATGAAGATAACAACGAGGAGAGAGAAAAGGAGAGTTGGTTTTTGGAGAGGAATTGGTTTCTTTCTCTAGGGTTTGAACCCAAAACACGAAAGGGGAGTTCTAGTGTGTGTGTGTGTGTGTGAGAGAGAGAGAGAGAGAGAGAGAGAGAGAGAAAGAGAGAGAGTGCTTGAGTGATCTTGGAGCTTAATTGAGGCTTGGGTTGATTTTGAAGACAAGGATTCAAGCCTAGAAGAAGAAGAAGATCTCGGGCCCAATGTGTAATCTTTCTCTTCTCTCTCTAGAAACTCACCATCTTATCTTGGTTTAAGAACCCTAGGTCTAGATTTGGGTTTAATGTTGATGTATGTGACACATTCCATGTTTAATTGATGATTTTACTTAATTGATGGATGTTTTCATGAATGACATGAGTTGGGTTTCCATTTTCATGTATTGAGCTTTTGACCTAGGAGGGAGAAAATCCCCTTAGAGCCCATTCTTGGCATCTTCGAGTCGCTCCTCACCATATATCATCCGGGTAAACCCCGAGGGAGTCGATTCCATCAATCTCCTACGATATATGGTTGCTCGAGGTTGAATAGAGCCTACCACATTCATCGATTTGCCGTTTCGGGTCATTCCCGAGGGAGTCCATCTCCTAACGGTAGAGTAATTGAGTCAATCGTGCTTTTGACCTAGGAGGGAAACAACTCCTCACCACATATCATCTGGGTAATCCCAGAGGGAGTCGATTGGACCGAGCTCCTACAATATAGGGGTGTCCTAGGTTGAATAGAGCACCACTCGTCCATCATCACCGTTTCGGGTCCGTCCCAGGGGAGTTCATCTCCTAACGGTAGGATAGTGGGTCGATCAAGCTAGGATGGTGCTCAACATCGATCCAAAGGTCGGAAATAGGGGGATTTAAATAAGGAGAGCTCCAAACCTTGTAAATAGCTAGGTTAGTGGTTAGTCTATGTTAGTTAGCTTAGTTTTATTAATCACCATCCTAGGTTGGCTAGATAACGAACCCTAAACCTGAAGTAGGGTAAGCCTAGATCCCCGTGGTACGATAAATTCTTATTGCTTGCTTGACCTATGCTACACCCGGTCGCCGGTTATACTTGACCCGCAATTGGGATGTTGTAGTTAGAATGAGTCACATATCAAATGAGTTAGTGTGCATGATCATCTAGATGAAGCTCCCAAGAAATAGTTATCCTATAATATATATCTTAGCTATCAGTTATTTACTTGCTTATCTATCTATCTATCTATCTATCTATCTATCTATCTATCTATATATCTATCTATCTATCTATCTACTATCTATCTATCTATCTATCTATCTATCTATCATGATCATTTTGATATGCCTTAGGTAGTATTCTGTGCGATTTCATGCCATAGCATCCTAGAGGGCCATCTTATCCTAGTTGGATATGTCAAACAACAGCCAGGATAATAAACACAACTCAAATTGCCAATAGAGAAAGGGCGCCGAAAATAGCGGGCCAAGATAAAAAATGACATCGTGAGTGTCGGTTTGAGTAGAGATGCATTTTAACGATTCAGTAGTGCAAACCCAGAGAAGACCCCGAAACCCTTAAATGCAAGATGGGAAGAAGGAAAGGCAAAGACACGCACCGTTTCACACTTTTGGCAACCAAATCGTTGCCATTTTTGGGAGTAGGTGATAAAAGTCATTTTTTTGGGAGCAACATCCACTTTTTGCCTTTTGTATGTTCCTCTTAGTATAACTCACAAAATTATCAGCAGATGAGCTCTTTGGAAGCACGAAGGAAGAGGAAGAAGTGAATATCATAGACGATTTCGTCATTGTGATCCTTGTACCTTCCTCTCTTATGACTTGTTTTGTGTGTATGAGTAGCTAAAATATATATTGTTTAGAATAGGTAACTTTATGCTGATGGATTGATTTAATTATATGAATTAGATGTAGCTGCTATATTAGAGACGTTAAAGCTAAATTCTTAAGAAGCAGTTCCCTGAATGGGAAAGTAAAGTTAGTAAACATGCAAATGAGCTTCATAAATTCTGGCTCATCTGGAGGAAGAACCTCACAGTTATGCACTCATCTAACCAATTCATCTAACCAAGAATGGAGGAGATAATCCATTCTTCACTATTTTTGTGTTAGCCTCAACCTCTAAAGCTGGTAGAGTCATGTAACTCAGTTGTATGATAAATGTTTCTTCTTTACCATGGATTGTTCTTAGAGATTTCAATGTCGTAAGGAATCCTAGTGAAGCTTCGAATAATCCTTATTTGGGCTATAGACTATCAGCAGAATAAAAGGGATCGCACCCTCAACCATGACTTTAAGAAAGTGTTTGTCATCTTATATCTTTGTAACAGTGAGCTAGATTCCCTAAATAATTGGATGCGACCATTTGGGGATTTGGGATAGTTATTTAAATCCTTCAAATGACTAAAACTTTTTGTTAGGATATTCACACTATTATCTTCAGTATATAGTTTCTATTACTGCTATAATATCAAGCTGCAGAACTCTAATCTTCTTTAGCATTGATGTGTACTTTTCTGGAGAATTAAAGCCCATGATGTTCCTACTTAAGACCTTCATTTGCCTCGCTTCTTACTTCTCCATCTACCTTTAGTAGTGGCAGGGAGAGGAGGTTCCACACTTCGCCTCAACACATGTTTACTCAAAGAGGGAAAAACTGTCCTCGAGCAAAGTCTTACCAGAGCATGAGAAATTATTCCAGGGGCTTTAGCCTTCTGTTTGTGTAGATACTGAAGCCTTTAGCTTTATGGCTTCTGTTTGTGACCAATTGGAATCCATCAGCTGCCTCAGCACCAGAAGTATGCTTAGTACCACCCATTAACATTTCAGCAACTTCAGGAGAGGTCACTTTTTTTGGAGTAGAGGAAGTCCCTACAACTACATCATCAGTCTTCTGCACAACTTCCGTGGTCTGCTCAACTATAATTTTCTCCATATTTTCCTTACCCTTGTACTCTTTTGCAACTGGTTCAACTATTTGCACTCTAGGTCTCTTAACAACCCAAACTCTTTTCGTTCTTCCTCCTGGATTAGAGCAATCATGTCCAAAAACACTACACTTCTCACATGTATCTAGAACATGACAATACTCAACATCCACTAGCATCTCGGGACGACCATCAGGGGTAATGCTTAGTTTATTAACCAAGGTGGATTTCATAGTAATCTCCACACAAACTTTTGCTACCGTGCCCCAAGCGTGTCCCCTGCTTTGTAGGCCAGTCCATACAAAGAGGTCTACCTTGAGAGCTAGCAATTTGCCCTAATCCTTCTTTAGATGTCATCTCAGTCGGTAAGTTTGATAATCGAACCCAGACAGGAACTACAAAATGTCTGTGGTTAGAGGCTGAATACATGGTTCCCATTTGCGTAGGAAACCATGTTTTCTCGGTGATGCCAAAGACCCCCTTCAAAAACCATTATGCAAACCTCCACATTCGGGAAGTGGAACAACCCCGCACGCTCGCCCAACCACAAAACTCTTATCGCTCCATCCCATCCCCAGATCCAATTTGCCAAAATGTGTATTGATTATTGAAGAAAGAGACGTCTTACGATCAAGAAACTGGTCGACCAGACAATTCACCAACCGCTTCGTACCTTCGTCAATTACAAACTTAGGAATTCACAATGAGTCATTGATGAACTACAGAATCTTCTATGGTTAGAGTTTGAATACCTGGTTCCCATTTGTAAAGGAAAATCATGTTTTCTCGGTGATGCCAAAGACCCCCTACAAAAACCAATATGCAGACCTCCACATTTAGGGATTGGAACAGCACCACACGCTCGCCCAACCACAAAACCCTTATCACTCCATCCCATCCCCATATCCAATTTGCCAAGAAGTGTGTTGAAGAAAGAGACATCGAACGATCAAGAAACTGGCCGACCAGACAATTCACCCGCTTCTTCGTACCTTCGTCAATTACAGACTTAGGAATTCGCAGGGAGTCGTTGATGAACTCAGACTCGTAGTTGTCCAACTTAAAATCATGATTGATATAAAAAAGAGAAGCCCAGGTGTGCTCGTCATCGACGACTCCTGTTGAAGCTTCGCCGGTGACGGTCGTCATTAGCCAAGAGAAGAGGAAAACTCACGAACGCTCAGAGAAAAAGAAAGAGAAAACTCTAAAATTTTTACTATTATTATTATTATTATCACAAAATCAATAATTATGTACGGTGTATTTTGCCAGCAACTAAGGGGTCGTTTGGACAACGGGATTTAGGGCGTGAATTCATTGAATCCGTAGATTTTGTAGAAAGTTATGTTTTTTTGTTGCTTTTTGAATTGTGTATTTTAACTTTAGAGATTTCAAATCTAAAAATTTTACGGATATCAAATCTCTCATAATCAGAGAGATTCTATATCTTGATTCGTGAGATTTTTTCTCTTACTTTTCTTCTTCTTTTATTTATTTATCATATTAAATATATTTATCAATAAAATTTTTAATATTTCTCGAACCACTTTAATTTTTTTATTATTAAGGATAAACATGTTATTTAATAAAAAAAATTAATTTTTATTTTCATTGAATGTTAACAATCATATATACCAAATGTAACATTTTAAAATCTATTTTCAACAATCCGAAAAGTTAGAATGTTTAGATTGTTGACAATCTATAGATTTAAACTCATATTCTCCAAAGCAACGAGATTCTTGGCTATTTTGGTCCCAAATGCACAAGAAATAAATAAATCAGTTACCATTTTGCCAGCGACCCAAAATTTAATGACTGTGCAAGTAAACGACCACTAGCAGTCCCTGATCCGTGCTCTTCATCGCCACCGGCCGGCGATACCCTAAAGTCCTAAACCCTAAACCCCAACTCGCCAAATTCCACTCGAGCAAAATGATCTGCAGAACCCGCCACCAGTCTCTATTCCCACTCAGAAACCTCCTCCTCTTCTCCAGATCATCATCGCCGGAACACAAACACTCCGCCGCCGCTCTCCACCGCCACCTCACCACCCCCTTCCTCATCCACCAACGATCCATCACCAAAGTAAGGCTCAAATGGGTAAAAAATCGCAGCCTCGACCACGTAATCGACGTCGAGACTGATCTCAAAGCCGCTTGTCTTCTGAAAGACGCAATCAAACGCTCCCCAACTGGTTTCCTCACCGCCCAGTCCTTCGCCGATTGGCAGAAGCTCCTCGGCCTCACCGTCCCCGTCCTCCGCTTCTTGCGCAGGTACTTTGAAAGTTGAATTAGATTGGGTAGATGCGTAGATAGCCATTCCTAATGTCTGTGAATCCAATCAAAATTTTCTTTTTTTTTGCAGGTATCCAACTCTGTTCGAAGAATTCCCTCACGCCCGCTACGCGAACCTGCCATGCTTCCGACTTACTGAAACAGCGCAACTTCTCGACTCACATGAACAATCCATCCACCAAGCTCGAGAGGCTGAAACCGTGGAGAGACTCTCTAGATTGCTGATGATGATGAGAACCAGAACGACACCAATTCAATCGATCCACCCGCTGAAATTCGATTTAGGTCTCCCCGATAACTTCGAACGGAACTTAATCCCTAAATATCCCGACCACTTCCGAGTACTCAAGGCATCCAACGGAATCGGCTGCTTACAGCTCGCCGAGTGGAAGCCGGAATACGCATTCTCCGCTCTACAAAGGTCCCACGAGAGCAAGAACGGAGCCGGGGGAAACGACGAATACAGGCCGTTCAAACGAGGGCAGGCGGCTTTGAACTTCCCGATGAGTTTCCCGAAAGGGTACGGTGGTCAGAAGAAGGTGAGGGCGTGGATGGATGAGTTTCAGAAGCTGCCGTACATTTCGCCCTACGACGATGCGTCGAGACGGATCGACCCGGAGAGCGAGCTGATGGAGAAGAGAGTGGTCGGGGTTCTGCACGAGTTATTGAGCTTGACGATTCACAAGAAGACCAAGAGGAATTACCTGAGGAGTTTGAGGGAGGAGCTGATTTTACCGCACAAGTTCACTCGGATGTTCACCCGGTACCCGGGGATTTTTTACCTGTCGTTGAAGTGCAAGACGACGACGGTGGCCCTAAGGGAAGGTTACCGGCGGGGGAAGCTGGCGGAGCCCCATCCTCTTGCGAGGTTGAGGGATAAGTTTTATCATGTGATGAGGACTGGAGTGCTTTACAGGGGAAAAGGTGAGAGCATGGTGAACCCAGAAATGATGTTGAACGATGCAGAAGAGGAAGAGGAAGAGGAAGAGGGTGAAGAGGAAGATGAAGGGTCGGAGTCGTGTTATGATGAAACGTCGGATGAAGAATGATTGCATTTGCTTCGCCTTGATTCTGCTCCTCTTGTGCAGAAGCAGAGGATGTCATTTCAGGGAGCTAGACGAACTTGCAGGTTTACCCGACCTCTGATTCGAGCATACAACAGAGTTTCCTCGTAATGATGCGACTTGTAACCAGAATTTTGTATGATTTTATTGATATCAAACTATCGTCTAATGACAAGAAACTCCATATTGGATCAACATGCAATGTCACTGTTCAATCTCTCAAACACTGTTTCTGCAAAAAAATAATCTCACTTGTACTGACTGGGAGGCCAGAGATATGATGAGATAGAACGCGTATGAATTATGAAGTTTGAGTAGTGTTAGTCGATGTGCAAAGAAACCATAAGTAAGCAAGTTGCATGAATATAAACTAATCAAAACCAGCTTCAGCAAAATGCTCCAAAAAACAAGATAAGAGTACCAAGATATAGGAGAAACCGCATAAGTACACAACAACAGCAGCATACATGGAAGGGTATATCCATTCCACGGTCAAAATTGTAATAAAGCTCTCCAATAAATGTGAGAGAAAACACACATTGGCTTCGTTCTGGAACAGGAAAGGTGAAGTGGGCTAATAATTCCGTTCCATATAGTAGTGGTCTGGTTAAACCCTACAACTAAAAGGGTACAAATTCAGTTCCAGTCGGGGGATATCATCATCATGGACTAATAGAAGAAACCCACCCTATTCAACTCCCAAAATAAAATAAAAAAACACTTCAAAAATACACAACTCGTCCATTGTTAGAACCCTAATAGAGCCCACTACTACAGAGACCCAGAAAATTCTTCATACTTGAGAAACGCCAGCTTGAGGACATGTACGGTCCCATATACTTCCTCAAACAACAATAAAGGGTTACTTAAGGATTCTTCTTCGTCATCCGGTTAATCCCAAGCACTGGGTGCCCCAGGACCCATGCCGCCGCCCCCGTAACCACCAGACATGCCCCCATAACCACCACCACCACTGTTCCCTCCACCATGGTAATCTCCACCACCACCACCCCTGTTGAACGACCCTTCCCTCCTGATATCCCTAGAACCAAACCGCCCTCCTCCGCCTCTTCGGTTCTTGCCTCCCCCATAAGAAACCCGTGAAGCGTATCTAACAAGCCAGTTGGGAACTTCTTGGTTGGCTTCTTGCATCAACTCAACCAGTGATCTCGCCAACGAGATATTGTGATCGTTGAAGAAAGCCGTAGCCAGGCCAGATTTCCCAGCTCTTCCTGTACGCCCTATTCTGTGGACATAATCATCAATGTCGTTGGGGAGATCAAAGTTGACCACATGAGCCACGTGTGGTATGTCAAGACCACGAGCTGCCACGTCAGTTGCCACTAGGATTGGCGTCCTTCCACTCTTGAATGACCTCAATGCAAGCTCTCTTTCCTGTGACCAACAATAATATAGCCATCATAAGCATTATCATTCAATGCTTTACGTGAAACCCTTACACAAGTGTTCATATTGATGAACAACTCAGGGAATCAAATCAACAAAACCATCGAGGGACAATATGCATGAAGGAGTCTGTCTATTCAGAAGAAACGAACCTGCTGAGTTCTATCACCATGAATTGTTGTAGCAGGGAACCCATTTTGACACAACCAGTACTCCAGGGAATCAGCACCCTTCTTAGTCTCCACAAACACTAATGTCAAGGATTGCTACAGATAACAAAAGAAGAAAGCCACTATAAAACATTTTATACAGAGCTCTATAACATACAAATAGATGAACACAAACATATGTTTAAACATGAGCAAGGTGGGAAGAACTTCATGCTTTACATTACGGCTTCCCTTTCTTAATCTCTTAACTCTCCTCCACAGTATGCTCATTTGAGCTCAATAAATCAACCCAACTTGAAGTATAGGGAATATTCGGTGAAGTTTAATCATTAATTAGCAAAACATGGCTACACCAAAACAAAGAGCATACAACGCATTACCTTGCCATTAGCTTCACTTTGTTTCTGTGCATGTAGAAGGTCCATAAGGTGGCTTCTCTTGTCAGCATCTTGAACATATTCAACTCTCTGGAGAATCAAATCAGTACTGGACCCAACCCTTCCAACAGCCAAGAATATGTAATTTGCCAGAAAGTCTGATGCAAGTCTCTGCAAGTACAAATAGAGGGAAAATATATATAAAATTAATGATTAAATTATGAGGAAAATTTAACGATTAAAATATCAGGAATAAGTATCAGCAACACTAATAAGAGGGCGTTATGGTTTTCAGTACTCATCCGCAATAAGAAGGAAAGTGCCAAAATTCAGCAATGTCAATCGTGAAAAGAATACAGGATGATAATCTAATCTAGGAACTCCCTTAACAAACTTAAAAGAGTGTTTCATTCACCAAAGGGACTTGACAAACTCAAACCAGTGCTTGAGAAGCAGTTCAGCACACCTGTATTTCTTTAGGAAAAGTGGCACTGAAAAGCATTGTCTGTCTCCTCCCAGATGGGGGCATGTCCACTTGTTCCACTATCTTTCTGATCTGAGGCTCAAACCCCATGTCCAGCATCCTATCAGCCTCATCAAGTGCCAAGTATTTGATCATTTGCAAGGACACTCTGGCCCTTTCAAGCAAGTCTACCAACCGCCCAGGAGTTGCTACAAGAATATCAACTCCTCTTTCAAGTTCCCTCAACTGGTCGGAAGAAAAAAGTTAATTAGCACACTATAAGAGCAAAATATTACTGTGAGACAATAACTGAGGCCAGAAGTTGGTACATCAAATAACAGATTGCTAGAATAACCACCACCATTTCCAGTGATAGAAGTAGTGACCACCAAATCACCAAGCCTTATAAGAACGGAACAGACTGGACAATTTTTGCATATATACTGAAACTAAACAGATATCATTTTGAACATCATGCCTTCTGCAACATACAATAATGTAGGAGGAAAGAAAATCCAGAAAAAGGTACGCTGACAGTATAGACAGTATAATTAATAAAATATCAATCAAACCTGTTGTGAAATTGGCGCCCCGCCATAAGCAACAACCACTCTAACACCAGTTTGATAAGCAAATTTCCTGGCTTCATCATGTATCTGGATTTATAAACAAAAAAAAAGGGGTGAAAAGGGAGTGACAATATTAGAGAAAAACTATCAAATACAAGAAATATTCGGGGAGAAAACCATTGTAGCATACAGAGCATATCACACCTGAGAAGAGAGTTCTCTTGTAGGTGAGAGGATAAGAGCCAGTGGGAAAGCTGTTCTTGGAGCACGCGGTCTCTGTACGAGGTTATCACGCATTATCCCATTGATTATTGGGAAGCAAAAGGCAGCAGTCTTTCCCGAACCAGTCTGAGCACAGGCCATCAAGTCACGCCCAGCAAGCAATATGGGGATTGCATTACGCTGAACTGGTGTTGGCCTCACATACTTGCATTTTCTTATGTTTGCATTTACTGCCTCGCCCAGGTCTATCTCTGCAAAGGTATTTACAGGAGGAGGTACATTGTCCCCACTTGCCTCCACAGGTATATCTTCATATGCATCAAAGTTAATGCCAGTTGTCTCTTGCCCGCTAGATGCACACTCTGCATCTTCTTCTTCTTCACCAAAAGGGTTCACCTCACGGTCTCTACCGCGTTCCCACCCACCCGTGTTACTATTCCAACCACCAGCATTTCTGCCGCCATACCCAGATCCCCCTCTACCTGGGTCTGGTCTAGCACCCCCAGCCCAGCGGGGGGGTCCACCATAACCTACACGGTCATTAGCTGGTGATGGAGCAGGAGAGGGCTGAGCTGCAGAATCAGCTGATGGTGGTCTGTTGCGAAGGTGGGGTGGAACGTAGGCAGCACGACCAGTGCGTGGGCCAGAATTGTTGTCAGATCCAGAGCCACCAACAGAATCAGCCCATCTATTTGTCATAATTGCTTACGAATATCAAATTCAGTAAACCTAAGCCTAACAAGAGAATAAAGAAAACGAAAAATCCAAGCCTCCCAGAGAAAAAAAAATCCTCAGTCTTCGCCTATTACTGCAGAATCAATCCTTGATAATCACAGAGACAGCAACCTATTCCAAACACGAAAGGAAACTCCAATCAGAGAACAAAATCATCAAAGTTGACAAGAATCGAACAGGTTTAACGGCCACCACAAGCAAATCAACATCAACGAGCAAGAAGGCATTGCAGCCACAGATTCCCATTCAATCATAGGCCTATAGGACGTAAAAAAGCAAAAAGAGGCAGGAAACCCTTGAACAAGGAAAACTCAGACCTGGGACGGCTGCAGAAACTACACGACGCAGTCAAGCAAAATCAAGCATACGCTTCAGGACGACGCAATCCAGCAGCAACATAAAGGGGAAACAACCAGCAACAAAAGTCCCCCACAGAACAGCGGGCAAGAGAACAAATAACCGAATAAAGGGAAATCGGAAAAATGAAAGCGCCATTGCTCTTAAACCACAAGCAAAAGGAATAGAACAATCAAAAGAATCGAGCACTAATCCAATAGAACAACACAATAACACAGGCAAGGGCATCTAGAGGGCAGCCAGCCAAAGGGGATATCCGAATCGAACCCTCAGCATTCTTCTCGGCGCAGCAGCTAGTCATTCAAAGCATACCAAATGCGAGAAAGAAAAAAAACAGAAAAATGGCGACAGATAGGAGAGGAGGAGTAGAAAATAATGCGAAGCGGAAGAATAGAAGATTCAGAGAGAGAAAGCGAGAGAGAAGGGAAAGAGATACAGAGAGAGAAGGAGACTGCGAGAGAGAAGGAGAAGGGAAGGGAAGGGAGGGGAGGGAAAACCTGAGTTGGTAAAATTCGATCGAGAATCCAGAAACGCGAAACCCTAGCTGTTTGGGGATCGGACATAAGAAGAGAACCCAAAACTATCGGTTTGGTGTGGGAGAGAAAGGAGCGAGTCAGCAAGGGAAAAAGGATGGGAAAATAGAAAAATTAAAAGGAGATATTTATGTGCGTTTGATATTTATAATTCTTTTTTACTTTTTGGGTTTCGCTTGGAATGGAGAGGAGAGGTTTAGCTTATGGCGTCTAGATTTACGTATCCCCTACCTCCTCTCTTTGTTCTTTTCTTGTCCTCCGCTTCCTTTTCTTTTTATTCTAATATATATCTATGCCTTTTCCCCTCTGATTCTTAATTTCAAATTCCTATTACCAAAAAAAAAAATTACATTGAACAAAAACAAACGGTTTTCAAAAATTAAAATTATTGAAAAAATCGGCTCCGTCCTTCCTTCGGTTCTAATTTTATTTTTTTCCTCCCAACAATTGTAAGGTGACAATTAGTAAAACCTAAAAACAAAGAGGGGAATAATAGGGTTTGAGTTAAAAAAAAAGGGTTGAGTTAGAGTACAAAATCATGTAATTTTGTACTACTACAAAATGGATGATTGAGATTGAGAGTGAAATGATCCATGATCATATTTGTAGAAAGGTGAGGAGGGAAATTAGCTGTTTGCGGAGAGAGCTGATCGAATTTTTGGGCAGCTACCCGAATTTTTTGGGTTGGTATGAGTTTTCAGAGGTGTTGTTAAAACACTTTTCAAATTTTCTACGACGGACCATAACTCATTCGTTTTATATCGGATTTCAACCAATTTTGGAAATATTAGTTTTTTGTGCTCTACATGATATTCATTTGCATATTTTTCTGAACAAAATTTTTGTAGGTCATCTTACCACTGTCATATCACGATAGTAAAACTAACAATGGTATGATATCATAGTGATATGATGTTGATTGAGTAGTAATATGATGTTGGCCTGAGGTTTTATGTTTGATAAAACAGTTTGATGACATCATATCACAGTCGTATCATGATATTATCATTGTGGTATACTGTTAATATCATCATATGATAGTGATATGATGTTGATATGAAGTCTTACGTTTGAGAAAATAATTGTGATATGATAGTGGTATGATGTGTGAGTCTTACTGGCTAACTAAAACACAACACTCCTTATAGTGTCCAAGTATAACCACTACAAGGGACTGTAGTAAAGTTGGTTCGATTTAGATTGTCAGTGTGAATCCTAGATGTATTGTTTACTACATCAATTCTCTATTATCTAGCGATCAAGTTTTAGTGAAGTTGTTTGCAAACTAAACATAAAAGAAAGCAAGTAAATTGTTCAGTTAATGCAAGAAGGGTCACTCATGTATGTGTCCCCTAGATCCTCAATTAGGTCGAGTTGTAGTCTCCTTTAGTTATTTTACCAATGATTATACAACGGAAGCTTCGATAATAGTTTTGAATCTCTTAAGCCGACCAAGCCCTCTTAGACATAGTACCCGGCAGGCGACTAACATCCACCTAAGTAAAATGTTAAGGCAATGAACAAAGATCTCCTATACTGGAGTGAATTCCAGTACATAATATGAATCGATAGACTCTAGTACGATCGATTCACCACTTCCAATCGAAGAAGATCTATTAACCCAATAAGATTATGTCTATCTTAGGTTAAAGAAGAAATCAAGAGAATATGATCAATATCCAAATGACTCAAATATTCATACTTCAAATTAATATAACCAATCAGTTTAACATCCAAAGGTTCATATAACACTGATTCTAACACATGGAACTAGGATTCTACACACCCAAGTGAAAATGAAGTTTACTCCATAGAAAGAGAATAAACACAAATGAAGTGGTCATACTCATCATGATGTGTATAATCAGCTCTTGGATGTCAATCAGCTCTCTAAGGGGCGAAATCCAAACTTCAATCGCCAAATCTTAGCTCAAATTAGCTCCAAGGACTTTTTCTTCGTCACTTTCTCTCTTTAGGGTTCTCTTAGATGTTTCTTGAGGGAAAAATCGGATATGGACTCAAGTGTCCAAGTCTGCCTTTTGTTTCCCTGAGGTTTTGCAAGTCAGGGGCCACGTCACTGCCGTGACTTAGCCGTTTCGCCTGTGACATCCAAAACACAGCGTTTCTACAATCCGTGAACCAAGAGTCACGACTGGGGACTTCAAGTCACGGACATGACTGTGACTTAGGCGATGACTCACGGTCATGACCTGGAGTTAATCTTGGGACTTTTGTCTCCCCGTTGTCAAGTCACGGGTTGGCTGAAGAAGTCACCACCGTGACCGTGACTTCTCCTCCTTGGCCATCCTTGATTCGGGCATAATTACACATATTTTACCTCTCATATCTTGATTGTTTGACTTGGTTATCGTCGTCCCTCGACCTATTTTATGCTAGGTTGTGCTTCTTGGTCACATTTCATGTCCTAGTACTAGGGAAGGTCTGAGATGAGTTTCGAGTCATTCAGAGGTCAAAATGAGCCAAAAAGATGAGGTTGTGCATGTTCACAGGCAAAAGGCAAATGTCAAGCCCTGAAGGAGTGAAAATATCCCTCAGGGAGTGAAGTGCAAGACTTCAAGGGAAGCACTCATTCATCACGATCCTGAGACCGTGATAATCACCCCCATATCGTGAAGTTGCCAAATTCCAGCATCCATTGTGCATCTCGTGGGCCTAAAAGATATCACGGTCCCGAGACCATGAAAATCACCCCGTGACCGTGAAAATGGCTCAAAATGGTGCATTTTTGGCTGAGATCACCCTCTGCTTGCTATTATCACGGCCGTGAACAGTGACCGTGATGTTGACATTGTCGGGCAAATATAGAGACATTAACTGGGAGAGACAAAGGGGAGCTGGTTTTTGGAGTAGAACTTGGTTCACTCTAGGGCATGGTTGTCATGCCAGTGGTATGCCGGCCGGTTGAACCAGGTCCAACCGGTACCGGTCATGAAACCGGCTGGAATACCACCGGCACAACCCTCCAGTCAATACCGGTCAAAGCCGGTCAAAGCCGGTCAAAACCGGGAAATCCGGTGGTTCAACCGGTTTGGGAGATGCCGGCTGCAGACCTAAAATGCTGGCGTTTTTATTTAAAAAAAAAATTTAGGGTTCAGTTTCACTTCGCGCAGCCGAGCTCCAACCTCCAAATCGCGAATTGGACAGCAGCCTAGACGACCTCCTTCCGCCGCAGCCTCCTTCCACAGCGGCCTCCTTCCGGCGCGTCTCGATTGGACAGCAGCCCCGGCCTCCGACGACGACTCTTCTTCCCGGCTTCCCCTCATCTTCCCCTCACCGTCGCGTTCATCTTTCCCAGCAGCAGACAGCCTCCGACGACTCTTCTTCTTCCCGGCTTCCCCTCACCGTCGCGTCCGACGAATCTTCTTCTTCCCGGCTTCCCCTCATCTTCCCGCAGACAAATCGTCCGGCGAGGCAGGAAACGCTGCAGCCGGCAGTCCTTCTTCTTCCCTGTGCGCGACGATCTAGTGGCACCCAGCAGGCCCTCGCCTCAGGTAACACTCTGTTCTTAATCTCCAATTTGTTGTTCAATTTTACAAACAAATTATAAACAAAATGGGTAGAAACTTCACCATCAGATGTGTTGTTCTTAATCTCCAATTTGTATATAATCAACCATCAGATCAATTTGTATATAGTCAACCATCTCCAATTGGTATTTAATCTTGTCCTAATTCAATTATGGATGTATTTTAGATATATATTTTGTGATGGGTTATTATATTCATATCCAGAAATTATGGTAAAACCGGCACAAACCGGCATAACCGGCATGAAACTGGTTCTACCACGGTAGAACCATTTCACTTGTAAAACCGGCGTACCGGCATAAACCGGTTTGACAACCTTGCTCTAGGGTATTGACCCAAAACACCAAAGGGGAGTTCTAGTGAGAGAGAGGAAGAATTCTTGAGTGATCTTGGAGCTTAACTGAAGACATTGATCAATCTAGGAAGCAAGGAATCAAGCTTAGAAGAAGAAGAAGATCTTGTGCTCCAATTTGAAATCTCTCTCTCCTCTCTCTAGAAACTAGCCCTCTACTCTTAGGTTTAAGAACCCTAGGTTTTAGGTTTTGGTGTTATGTTGATGTATGTGAAAAATCCTATGTTTGATTGTGTTTATTATCTAATTGATGGATCATTTTCATGAATTGCATGAGTTCTACATGTCAATTGAGCTTTTGACCTAGGAGGGAGACAATCCCCTAAGAGCCCATTTTTGGTGTCTTCGGGTAACTCCGATTATATGTTTTCTGGGTAATCCTCAGGGAGTTGATTCGATCGATCTCCTAGCGATGTATGAATCCCTAGGTTGAATAGAGAACCTTCTCATCCATCACTTTGCTTTTTTGGGTCAATCTCGAGTGAGTCGATCTCATAACGGTAGGGTAGTTAATATATCAAGCTAGGATAGTACTCAACATTGATCCAAACGATATAACTAGGGGGATTCAAGCTTAGAGAGTTCCACCCCTTGTAATTAGCTAGGTTAGTTAGTTTAGTTTTCTTAATCATTATTGACTCAACCCCACTATCACAATGAAATTCCACCTAAGGTCCAAGTATAAACCTTAAATGGGTGCAATATAGGGCAAATATGTTTAAATATCGATTCGGGCCGGCCCATATACCCCTACTTTGACTATTTGAAACATTATCTAGCAGATTGTTGTTTTGCGAAAATCTCTACAATCTACTATTGAAAAGCAAGACTTGAAAAGTGAAGTGGTGGAAAACTCTTGGTAAGAAGCTTCACTCGGGTGTTGCTTCCCTCTGACCAACTACCATGAACCGTGATATCGAATGAATCGGTGTGAGACAAGGCGATTGTGAGCCGATAGGAGAGACAACAGTGGTTGGAAACCACCTCTCAATTGCTAGGCCAAGGAAAGCATTATAGGCTACAAATGTATCCCTCTTGGCTTGGGCAATTTAGGGTTGCTTTCATTTCTCCCTCAAACCAGGATTTGGAGCGGCCAAAGCACAATTAACCTAGATGGTCAATTTGAGTTTAGAGATTTGTTCTACATTAACCTAGTTAGGAGGCATAGAATACCTAGGAAACCCAACTCAATTAGA